GCTCATCGCTGTAAGGTAAAGGTCCCGGGTTCGAATCCAGCGTCCTTGCACTTCAACATACTTTCAAATGAGCTTTTTTCTCAAAAACACCGGCACCCTGAGGGTTTTTATGACCTCTGCTGTTTCGAACCCTTGTAAAAAAAAAACAGTTATTTTTTAGAATTACGGACAGTTAATTAATGTCGTTATTTCTTAGTAAATATTTTGGTGAATTTTAGTCACAAAAATTTAATATATTCAGAACATCAATAAATTTTTTTAAACGACAATTCAAACAGCAATAACAAATTCAGACTTGTTTTATGCTTTTGTAATACTGCAATCGGTTTCATATCCTTCAATATAGCGCTAAATTTAAACGGTCAATTTTAATTTCAAAAAGTCCTGGAACTTAGATAAAAATATATTTTGTTAAATTACTAAATATAAAAGTTGCCACATTCTTTTTTTTTTAATTATTAAACTCGGTCAGATGTTAAAAATTGCTCATTAAATCTGCCTTCACCTCATTTGAGCTATAGAACCGAGCAACGTTGATTTACCCTCAACGTTAAAACAGAATTAATTAAAATTTCTATGATCGTTAAAACTTTTTTTCATTGAAATGGAAGAGCCTTATAAGAAGATACAGACGATACAGAAAACCAATATTTTTTAGAGGCAGACTATTATAATTTCTTTTTTAATATTTGAGTATATTGGAATTAAAACCTAGTATATTTCATTCCTTCAAACAATTGTCAATCATATGAAACATAAAGAATGATAAAAAAATTAAAATTAAATTAAATTAATGGTTTGCCCATACATAGCCCCTCAGCTTTTAAAACACTTTTAGCTTTTTCACTAGATATTCACATTAAACTGTTTGTATTGACTTCCATTGTTCACTAATCCTATTCCATAATTCACAACATAAATCAGTTGCGAAAGGCAGGTAAATTAGGTAAATATTTTTCAGCCGGCCGGAAAGGCTTAGCATTCATATTATTTGATAAACATTTCAGTGAATCGAGTTGCATCCTGCGTAGAAAACCTAATATTACGTAAAAACCTGTTTAATCCCAGTGTCTCTCTTATAAACGAAAAACTGAAAAAAAGATTTATTGCTTTTTAACACATAGAGCGTACATACACATACACGATCGAGCATAAGACTTATCACCAACTAAAAATCACCTACTTCTGTTTAATTTGTTAATCGAATTTGAAGGGTTAATGGGATGCGCATGTTGTCCTAATTCTTTCGACGACTTTAATTTACCATAGAATAGTTATCAGTTTCTTTGTCTTTTAACGTTAGCAAATTATACCCATTATAAAAGAACAATAATACAAATTCACTTCTGAAGATGGCGTGCCTTATAGTCGACAATGCCATAACATCGAGCATTGGTCACAAGGAGAAATCTAAAAAAATTGATTTTTTGTTAATATATGTCAAATCCATTTACTAGGTTAATTCATGTAAGTCAATAGATTAAAAACAAAAACAAATATCGCAGTTCAAAGCGCATGCATGATGTGAGGTCGTTGCGGTCGAACGCGTTCTGACGCCGTTTGCAACACGCTTGAATTAACATGGCCACATAAATTAATATAATAATTAATATTAGTCTTACTTTGCTAAATAAATTCTAGTTTCATCTGAAACGGAAAATGAAAGGTAAAATGAATAGCTAGATATTTATGCTCAAATATGCTTGTTTTTGTATTGAATCACTATGCAGCTATGTGGCACTATGTTGTATTATTTGCTAGTATATAGAAGATACTTTTCTTTTCATATTAACCTCTCAGTGTATTTTTAAAAATCAGATGCATATTGGAAGGGTTTTTTTTTATGAGAAATAAACTTGAAAATGGCACAATAAAGAGTTCGTTTAATTTGTCAAAACGAAGTTAGTTTAAATCAAAGTGCGAGAAAATTTCTCTTCTATTTCATGGTAAATTAGTAATTTAAAATAATTATTCAGAAAACGTGAGATGCGGTCTGGTGTAATGTAGGTTTCAGAAAAACATTTTCTTTATCGTGCCAACGTTTCGAATCATCTTCAGGGCTCAAAGTGTTTGTCTTCTGTGTAATTGTGCCATTAATACACACGATAAAGAAAATGTTTTTCTGAAACCTACATCACACCAGACCGCATCTCACGATTTCTGAATAATTATCGATTAACGGTCACTAATCACTACACATTTAAAATAATGGTAAAAATTTGCACAATATTTCATGTTAAGCTTACGTGGCACCTAAACCTGACAAAGAGTACTTAACTAACTTAGCTAATCGGACACTCCTAATAAATATTCTGTAACCAGAAGGTTAGACATTTTTTTGCAAATATATGATTTTATAAAATTTAACTGGAAACAAATTAACATTGTAACATTTCAATAAATATTTTATAAACATTTTATTTTTATCTTAGACATATATTTAGTTGTATATTAATTTTTCATTCGCTTGTTATTTAGGAAAATATTTCTCTTCGCTTTTTTAATGTTTCATGTATATTTGAGATATATTCGGTTGAAATGAAAAATATTTTCACCGGTCTTATCGTTTTTTTACCAGGACTGGAACATCCTGTCAAAACGGCAAATGAATCAGGGATTGACACATCAAAAGATTCGGAAATTAGAAATTGCAAAGTTGGACAATCGGTCTTTCCGTTAATTTCCCATTTCTCCTCTGACCGGGGGGGGGGGGGGGGCTGAAATGGAAAATATTAAATTACATTTAGAACAAAGCGTTAAAACTCCATTATTTCCGCTCAATTGTCAGACTAAAACTTTAAAATTTCACTTATACAATTAACAATAGCGACATTATTCACGGTCTTTTGCTTTTACTGAGAAGTACACATCTAAATTGGGTCGATAATAAAAATAATTTCAGATTTATGTGGTGAATGAATATTAACGGCCAGTACATTTATACATTGCCATCCCTCACCGTTATGTTTGTATCACTAATATAATTAATATTAGTCTTGAATATTAAAATATTATATATTAAGAAGTCAGTAATAAGGTTTTTGTGGTAGCTTTTAGGGCCTGCGACATTGGCAATCGCCATCCCTCTCTTTCTTCCCTTTTCTTTTCTTTCTCGCGTTTTAAGCCACTTTTCCTGTTTCTCCAGCCCAGTTATGTTTTTATGATATAATAGTAAACAATTTTCTCTTTTCTTTATCCTATCCTACTTTATTCTCTTTATCCTCTCTCTACCTCAGGGCTTCGTCAATTGTGGATAATATTCGCACAAATACTCAGATGCACAGAAACAAGTAAAAACATAATAGTCTGGATAGCATTCACAGTACCTAGGAGTATTCAATATTCCTCGGACTAATTAGCGATATACGTCACCATTCCCGCTAATAAATTACATTAGCACACGATACTTCGTTCACATTACCCACAGTACTCGATATTCCTCGGGGTAATTGGGGATAAGTCCCTCTATTCACGCTAATAAATTACATTAACACATTCATCCACATAATTAAATCGCATAACTTCTGAAACTTCTTAAAATTTATTAATTTCTTATAATTTATTTATTTATGTAAAGTTGTGTAAAATCTTATGTACTTAGATTCTCATTTTCAGTTTTGGAGCTTTTGTTTCTCTCGACTATCAATTCCTTTCTTCCTGCCCCATATTTGTTTTTTATTTCTTTAAATACCATTTTTACTCAAAATTGCATTTGTCAGCTAATTTTCTTATTATTCTCGACTAAATACTGTTTTTAATATTGACACAATGTTACGTCGTAATTTCAAAATAAATTATCAATTACTTCCAAGTTGAAAAACATGTAATTTTAACGTTTCTTGTTCTACTACATTTTTTTATACGATATGTCAAGATAATCTAGCTAGATTACCAGCCAGTAGACGGAGAATTAGAAAAAATGTAAAAAAACATGGTTGGTATAAACCATGAAGTATTGGCTAAGAAATAACTTTTGAAACGACGATTAACAATTCAAAAAGCCGAAATAGTATCGATTATAAAATTCGATATACTTCATGCTGTATGAAAATTGTCTACGCTTCCAAAGGTCAATGTTACGAGAAGTAACAGATCAACACAAGCAACAAGAACATTTTTTTGAGCACGATTTGTTAAAAACCATGAACATACACAAATGAACAAATTGTATTTCAAATTGTGTTGGATTGATTAAGCTTTCTTGGCCTGTACAAAGTTTAAACTTAAAATATATTACAATTAATTACGGTTTTTAGTTGAGATAAAAAAGTCAATGGCACGAGCGGGATTCGAACCCACGATCTTCGGCTTGATACGCCGCTGCTCTACCACTTGAGCTNTACTTAATTTTTAATCATTAAATTCACTAATTTCGTGGTCCGCTTGACCAATTAATATATTACAATTAATTAAGGTTTTTAGTTGAGATAAAAAAAGTCAATGGCACGAGCGGGATTCGAACCCACGATCTTCGGCTTGATACGCCGCTGCTCTATCGAGGTCACGATAGCTCAAGTAGTAGAGCAGCGTACCAAAATAGTGAAAAGAATGCAAATTAGAGTTAGAATGTTAATAAAGCCGGGCAATGTACTTTATAGTTTTCTTTTCGAATAACACTATATTTTTTAAAAGATGATGAGGAAAAATGAATAATAAAAAGTATAATTTTTGTCTATTATGGCAGTCTTGCTCTTTGAACTTAGTATAAATTTAATGTATACGATAATAACACCATTTCTTAACCCGTTCTTGGGAGGGTTTAAATCAGAGAGCGAAACAATGAAGTTACCCATCAGTTTAACAATGAATTTTTGTTTAATTATTTTGTCCTTGTAAAGTTCAGAAGTTTTAAACAAAAGTTACTAACTATTTCTTATAATCGAAGTATCCATAAAAACGGAAACAGACCCAATATAGGAAATGTTGTTATGACTTTATATCGTTTCATGTAATCTCCGTCAATCTTTATCCCCACTTTATGCGTAACGTATTATTTTCAGATTCGCAATCCGGAGGACGAGACCCAGTGCGTGATGTGCCCTTTGGGAACCATCCCCGACAGAGGCAAAAACATCTGTTTGGACATCCCCGAAGCCTTTTTGAGGGTGGAAAGTGCGTGGGCGATAAGCGCCATGGCAATTTCTTCACTCGGTTTGTATATTGTATTTTACCTTCGGACCTTTTTTTCTATCGACGGGCAATTTACAAGAATACAATAGTTGTCATGGTACGAAATGTTGAAAAACTGAAGCCTGTGGAAATGTCGAGGTAACAAAACATTACCTTACTTTTCAATCTATTAGAGTTTTTACCTAAAATGAGATTGAGTAGTAAGGTTGTATATTTGTAAAATGTATGCTGAGTAAAAAGATATTCAAAAGAAAGAGAAAAAGGTTTAATTAAAATTTTTTTGTCCACTTTGTTCGAAGATCAGGTAAAAGAAAGTAAAATTATTAAGGATAAAATGAAAATAAATAGGCACGGAGGAAGGAAAAATTTACTTGTTATTAAATCAAGCTTTTAATCGGGCAGGTGGCTATAGTTTGATCATAGCAGATCAGTTGTACATTATTGGAAGTAGTATGCTCTGGAATGCGAGGGCGACAGAAGCGCAAAGCCCCTTTTCCACTAGTTTAAGCCCGCTACAAAATAACTCGGGCAGTTGCCCATAAACCCAACGGCTCTTGTTGCAGCTGTAGTGTTATATAATTTGCAATCTTGCATTCATTGTTCATGCAATTCCACCCATATAACTCAATAAAAAAACACCGAATAGATAAAAACCCCGGCTGTGGCCGTCGTAACATCTGAATTGTTTATTAACCAAGAATATTTATCATGTTTTCCAGGCATTCTGGCCACGCTTTTCGTTATCGGAGTCTTCATCCGCCATAACGAAACCCCAGTAGTAAAAGCAGCCGGGAGGGAGCTCAGTTACGTCCTTCTGATGGGGATTCTTCTTTGTTACCTCATAACGTTTGCCCTCGTTATCAGGCCGACCAACTTCGTCTGCGGCGTTCAAAGGTAATGTCTGAATTTCATTTTCTACCCTTTATTTATTAAAAAAATATACCCATTGTTTATATTTTATCAGAAAGTTTGACTTCACAAAGTAAGACAAAGGGCTTTTATCTTTTTACTATTTTCAATTGTTGACTTTTTTTATCCCAAAATAACCTAATTATATATCCAGTTTCATTTTCTATCTTGATCCACTCTATTCCATATACGAAGACCACCAAAAACACACTTTCATAAAAAGTAGTCTTTATTTTTTTAAACTACTATTGATTTCGGAATGCTGTTCGCTTCACCTCTTCAGCTGTTTTGACTTAACAAAAAACCCATCAAATATTAAAAAACAACATGTTAACAATTAATAAAATTAACTTACATCCCAGTGAAAATGAAATGAAACATTGAAGGTTACCATTTACACAATAGACTTGACATTTCAAATTCTTTCTTATGTCGTTATGCGTCGTCAACAAGTACTATAACTAACTAGCACATTATGTGGAATATTTAGTGACCGTTGCGTAATGATTATTTAGAGATGAGGTTTTAGAAAAACATTTTATCATGGCAACGTTTCGATCTTTACTGAGATCATCTTCAGGGCCTGGGATTCATAAACATTGTTTAAATTATACAAATAAATACATGGCTATAAATTTATACAAAGATGAAATGCAATATAGACACATCACACGAAACCGCATGTCACGATCTCTAAATAAATAATCATAATAACTAATACATTATGTACATTTTTAATCATTTATTTATTTACAGGTTTATAATACATTTTAAATATGTACATATGTATCTAATTTTTCATTTATTTTATAATTAATTTTTTAATACTGAATTTTTATGTTTATTTTTATTTTTCATATATATAGTGTGTACAAATTTATAATATATATACGAAGTAAATTTACATTTTTCCCCATAATTAATAATTTTGAATTTATATAATTTTGGACAGCTGCATTGTTCCATGTTTGTATATGTTTTTCTTTTTTTAGTTTTTTATGTGTATTTTTTATCTTGTAACATCTTCCATTTTATTAATGCAATCATTTTTGTAAAAAAGTAACATCATTTGTTTTTTTTGTAATAAACTGTAACCTTCAGTGTTTCATTTTCACTGGGCATATAAGTTACTTTTATTAATTGTTAACATGTAGTTTTTTAATATTTGATTTTTTTTCTATTTTAAGCCATAACAGCTAAAGACGGATTTTTTTAAAATAAAGACTACTTTTTATGAAAGTGTGTTTTTGGTTGTATACGACTATGGCCTAGAGTGGATCAAGTTAAAAAATAAATTCACTAGTTTTCGTGGTCCGCTTGACCAATTAATTAAGGTTTTTAGTTTAGATAAACAAGTCAACGTGACGAGCGGGATTCGAACCCATGACCTTCGGCTATATCGCAGCTGCTCTATCACTTGAGCTATCGCGTCTTCGATCCACTCGGACACCAACTCCCCATCTCAACCCCACCTTTCGAATTTTCCCTCCTTTTTGCCATTTTTCAAATGTCGTGTAATCTATTCGATGCTCGGCGACAAATGAAATGGTCACGAAGAGCTTTAGTGAAGATATACTTCATTTTAACTTATTAAATTCACTAGTTTTCGTGGTCCGTTTGACCAATTAATATTTTTCAATTAATTAAGGTTTTTAGTTTAGATAAAAATGGCAAATAAGAAGGTCGTGGGTTCGAATCTCGCTTGTGACACTGACTTTTTTATCTCAACTAAAAACCTTGATTTATTGAAAGTTAAAAGATAAAAATTATATGTTATATACTGTTCCGAAGACCAAAGGGTTCGAATCCCCTCCGTGGAACTGACTTTTTATTTCAAATTTCGTATTTATAAAAACCTAAAAATGTATAAAAATAATGTAATATAATAACAATGAAAACTTTGTAACATGTTTGAACGTCTTAAACTGCTCAATCATTAAAAATGCGGCATGTTTTTCCGGATGGATTTTCTATTGAAATAATTTACCGAGACCTTGGGCAAAAAATAGGAATTCTATTAGTGTGATTTACTGATTTAATTGTAACTTGCTAATCGCGGCCGTACAATTAGTTTGATTCGGTTATTAGGATTCGGGAGAGCCGTAACAGATTACAATGTTCACTGTGTTTGAAACAAAAGTTTCAACAAACCTGTCGATCGAAACATGAATCAAAAATGTATCGATCAATTTTGAAAAGGATGAATTGCGAGGAACATGTCGCAAACAATTATGCGTCGGTACAAAGCAGTAAGTACCGACGGCTGATAATTGAGACCCATTTTGACGGTTTGGAAATAAATACTAATTAGCGGTTCGGTTGAAACTAATTATTCTGGCAACCGATTGTTTGATTATTCAAATATGATAATAGTATGTTTTTTGTTTGATGAAGATGATCTCACTAAAGATCGAAACGTTGGCGAGCTTAAGAAAATATTTTTTCTAAACCTACATCACACCAGACCACATCTCACGATCTCCAAATAATAATATATTATCTTTAAAATGCATATTAACTTTTCAGTTTCTTACTATTGATTAGTTTAAATTTTTTCACTGCAAAGCTTCATAGTCGTATATTCAGTTGTAATTTAAAACTTACACGTAATGTAAATCTTTAATATTTTTTAAGACTGTATCTCCTTTTCATCGTAAGCAAAATGAGCTTTTAACAAATCAGTTTTATTTTGTTCAACGGTAAATCATCTGAATCATGCCAATTTATTATTTTCCCACTATTAATCCAACGCTGAAATCTGATGATGTAACCCACCCCTGGAGCTTAGGCGGTTTAAATTATTAAAACCTAAAAAAAGCTTCTCGTGAAATAAAAAATTAATTGCTCTTCTAATTTAAACAAAGGAAAAATCATACCTCCTCGCCCAACATGATGACATTGTTTACATCATGTGAATGTGGTCAGGTCGAGTTTAGTAATTTCGATTAGCTGTCAATTCGTCATTGGTGAGAAATAGACCAGAATTGGTAGTTAATAGTGGATGTCTAACGTCTAACGCAGAATCGCAGAAGTTTGGAATTTGCCGAAAATTTGGAACTTAGATTAATCCCTAAACTTCTTAGCCAAGTTCGTGTAGTTGCTAACTGCTACCTAATCCGTACGTAAGTAAAATTGTACAAGAAAAAAATGCAAATAAAGAGTCATAAGCATGAAAACAAAAATTTGTATGCCAAATTTCTTAAATTAATTATTAAGCGAGAAACCAACTGCTGACTAAGCTAAAAGCTATCAAGATGAAATCTTTTGTATTTCTTAATTAAAAATAATGATTAATATGTTTTTAGTTTGCCCTATTAACCGGAATAATTATTTAATTGATTTATTATTTTTTTATGCAAAGTGTGGCTCAGTTAAAAAATTAGTGTCACGAGTCGGATTCGAACCCACGACACTCGGAAATCCGTAGAGTCCCGCTCGTGACACTAATTTTTCAGGTCAGCCACACTTTTCCATAAAAAATAATAAATAAATGTGTAAACAATTTTTGATATTTGGACATACAAAATACAAAAAGTATACACATAAAAGAATCAATCCTAACACAAAAGGATTTTTATTCAGGATAAATCAAATAAATTTTATTTATTCACCCTTGCTTTTGGGAATTTAAATTTAAAGGAAAAACTTTTTTTGGGAAGAACCCACTGTTATAACAGACAAATGTTAATTTCATTGACATCCTATTTCAGTGGTTCGTAGATATAATAAACATAACATGGGACTTTTTGGTAGTTAATTCTTAGACAGATAAAATTATTTTTCTCTCATTTAAGAATTTAAAAACATATTATAATATAAATTTTATAAATGTACAATATTATTACAAAAATTTCACTTGTTCAATGTCAACATTGAAGAGAAAGTTGAACTTTTGGAACCGTTATCTGTAAAATAGTGCTGTGATTGGGTACTGTGTGTGATCTTAAATTAGTCTTTTAAAAGAATTTTGTGAAAACAGGTTTGGTGCTGGGTTCTGCTTCACTGTCGTTTACGCGGCACTTCTCACAAAAACGAACCGTATCTCGAGGATCTTCAACGCGGGTAAGAGGACCGCGAAGAGGCCGAGCTTCATAAACCCAAAATCACAGATACTCATCTGCTTTGGCCTCGTCTTTATTCAGGTATTGCAAAAACCGATTCCCGCGTTGGATTTTTCCCCTGGTGACACACGTCTGATTGCAGGTGCTGATCAACGTCGTCTGGTGGCTCCTTTCGCCCCCGAAGGCCATCCATCACTACCCGACAAGGGAGGACAACTTGCTCGTCTGTTCTTCCTACGTCGACGCCTCATACATGATCGCCTTCGGCTACCCGATCATACTAATCATAATATGCACTATATACGCCATCCTGACCAGGAACATCCCCGAGGCTTTTAACGAGTCGAAACATATTGGTACGTCAATCAGTGAAATGTTAACCTTTTCTACTATTCTCAAGCTATAGTCACTTAGTCAAGGGCTTTAGTTCGTCTCTCTCTCTCTCTCTCTCTCTCTCTCTCTCTCTCTCTCTCTCTCTCTCCGTCAACTCAACATGGGTATAAGTGGGCATTTAACCTCTAGGAAAGGTGGGGGGTCTGAGTCCGCAACGATTTAGGCGTTGACACGGCGCTTATCTGTAAGGTAAACGTCCCGGGTTCGAATCCAGCGGCCCTGCATTCCTACTCAACATGGATATAAATTTTTCAAAAACCCGAGGTTGGTATAACCTCTGCTGTTGTGAACCCTCGTTTTAAAAAATATATATACAAAAAACAACACTTCCGCAGCACTCGCCGGTCGTGCAGGTTTAATCTACTCATCAGAATTACTAGGCTTTGAGGAAGCCCGTTCCCATAAAATCTCACTCTTTCNATATATAAAACTCTCTCTATCTATATCTATTTCCCTCTCTCTCTCTCTATCTATCTATCTATCTATCTATCTATGTATAGGCATATAAATTAAGTTAAATGGGTCGGTGTATTGGCTTCACTGTATAGGATAAACAGATGGAGGTCATATTTTTGTAGAATAAACCGCTCTTGGATGATCTCGTTCCCTATAAATTGTATTCTTAATTGCATTGTAGTTGAACTCGTAAATTGATGCTCTTATTTGCTAACTTTGTAAACGATTTACTCAAGTTTCAAAGTCCTGTTGCATGGGGAATATATTCCTTGAAAGCTTGACGAAGGAACTGAGTGTTTTCATTAGCTTCTGTTGATCCTCTAACAAGCGCCAAGCAACTTGCAGATGAATTTAAAGTTGCTAAGAGGTGCATAAGCATCCTTCCTAAACAGTGTCACACTCTTCCCAAAAATCCAACTTTTTAATTTTGATCAAACGAAGGTTGCTCGCTTAAATAAACTCAGTTTTTGGCTTTAACTCATTTATTATTGGAGAGTTCCATTAAATACAGCCCTTAATCATTTATGCAAATCCTTAGAACAATCTTTTTCTTCTTTATTTTTCATTTCGCTTCGAATTTTAAAATCCTCGCATTTTTGTATTCCATCTTACGACTGGCCTTTTGATTGGATGAAGACTTGTACAAATACTATGAATTTGAAATACTGAGAGAATATATTTAATTATTTAGCTCGGCCTTATAAATTTTTGTTTTACGATTAAGCTTGTGTTTATAAATTTCATTTGAGAACTTTATTTATTTATTTTGGGCTTTTCTCAGTCCAAAACACATTGAATCATATGTTAAAAATTCATAGTAAATTTGAAACATTCTTCTTTACAAATAATAAAAATAAAATTTTCTTTAAATATTTGTCCCTCCTTCCAATTTCCCATAATATCAAATAAACCTACCCTTTGATATGAATCATCAGCACAACAATTCTGCCCATAGATGATCAAAATTAAGTAATAACGTTCTTCAACTTTCTCCCAATATATTTGTTTTAATGCAATTTAATTTGGACTTATCATCTATACTTTATTCTCGACTTCTCAACATTTTCTTTTATCATTAAACTATAAAGAAATGATATATCATTTGTGATAACTCAGTGTTATCTTTTTCCAATTAATGTGTTAATTTTTGTTGAAGTACTCAAGCGTGTTTGGTAACAGTGATAAAAACATGACAAACTATTTTTTTCTCACCTAAATGAATTCCTAAGTGGAGGATAGATTGTAGTATTATGCATGCCAAGGAAATTTATTATCCACTGTTGCCATTGCATACTATATTCTTATTTAAACTATTCCTTTAATACTCAGATTAAAACTGGAAAAAATTATATTTTGCAGTAGTATATTTTGATTCTTTTTAAAACAAGTAAATAATAAATATTCTTTTTATATATATAAAGAAACGTGGGACAGCTAATATCAAAGATGCCGACCTTCGCAAGTCATTCATTCCCTTTCGCATAACGCACGACTGATCAATTCCCTTTCTGAACCGGTACATCACGGATGATCAGTGTTCATAACATTCCAATAACCGCACACATACTTTAATATTATGTTTACATAATTACATTTGCGTTTACTCTTTTTAACCTGGTGGATATTAAATTTAAATTTCAAAGACAATTGCCGGACACTCGTATTTTGTTATTTATTTACACTTTGGGTTGTCCGAAAAATAATGCAGGTTTATGGGTTATAAAATTAAAAAAATTAAATAAATGATTTTAAACATTTGTTATTAATTAAAATAATCCCCATCACTCTCAGTATATTTCTCCGAACATGATGGCAACTTCTCTGTACCCTCTGAATAGAATTTTGAGTCCATGTGATTAACAAATTCTGTAAACGCATTTTCTAACGATTTTTGATAAATAAATATTTATGTTGTAAAACGTTGTCCAGGTGTCTAAAAAAATGGTAGTCTGGAGAATAGGGATAGTGAGGCGGAACCTCGTAACTTAGATCCAACAGCTTTCGTGTTATCATGAGACATGGGGCTGAGCGTGACGTGTAACAGAATCGGCCTTTACCGAATGACAAAGATGGCTTCAATAATACCAATTTTTGGTACATTGCTTTAATTTAGGAGCATTACATTTCGGCATTGATTGTTTCGCCAGGATTCAAGAAGTTGTAGAAGAAGCTGTGTGTAGAAGAATTAGCCCAAATGAAGCCCACCAAAGAATCACCATCACCTTTTTTTGATGATTTGGGGCTTTGGAAAATGTGGTTCTTCTCCTTTGTCGAGCCACTGTCCAAAACGTCTGCTCTTATCGTAGAGGATCCATTTTTTATCACAAATAACAATTCTATTCAGAAAAGGTTCGTTTCTGTTTTGGCAAAGAAGTGTTGCCCAAACTTCATAACAATTAATCTTTAATTAAGGTTTTGGTTGAGATAAAAAAGTCAGTGTCACGAGCAGGATTCGAACCCAAGACCTTAGACTAAATTCGACGCTGCTCTATCACGTTTAATATCGTGACTTGGATCCACTCTGAAACCAACTTCCCATCTCAACACCACCTTTTGAATTTTCCCTCCTTTTTACCGTTTTTCAATCTTACCAAAACCTAAATTAAAGAATAATTAATTGAAAAGAATTTATTTGGTCAATCAAACCACGAAACCTAATAGACTTCATAACAATGTTTTTGGCGGTCGTTTAATGCACTTTCGAGCTTTTTCACCTTTCCAATTCCCTTAAGATGTTCAATGACAATTTGCTAACTGAAAGATTCTCTGCAAGTTCTTGAACAGTTGTTCTGGGATGTTTTTGGTCCAAAGCTCGCATCATCATCTATAGAAGAAATTCTTCCATGGTTTTCTTTGTCTTCAAGCTAAAATCTCCCTCTAGAAAATTTTTGAATCATCTCTGAACCGTGCTTTCACTCACACTGCCATCACCCCAGATTTCGTTAATGTTTCAGGCTGTTTGGGCATCGTTACGTCCGAGTTTAAACTCGTAAAACGAAATTACGTAAAAATCACGGGTTGACATCTTAGTAAATACTGAATTATTCCCAAGTAACGATATGCTACCAAACGAAAACAGTTTATTATGTAGAAGCCTAATTGAAGGAAAACATGAAAACCTGCATTAATTTCCGGAAAAGCAAATATATGTATTTTTATCGTTATATTAGTTACAACATACTTATTTTATTATAAAACAAATTAAACGATATCAGAAATTCGCGAGTTTGAATAAAAATTATTTAATTATGATAGTTCGAAAGAAAATTCACCCAAAACACCGGAAAATAATTTAGTGAAAGATTATTGTTTTTTTTTTTTACTTCATTTATTTGTATCTACAACTGTACATGTATTATATACAACCAGCAGATTGGATTTCAGGTTATGTGTTTGGCATTATGGGCGTTATAGAGAAAGCTACCCATTGGCAGCCGCTCTGGATTAATGAAATGATATTAATCATTTAAGAGGTCTCTTATCCATATTCTTTTCAGACGTTTACGTGGTAATTGTGGGGAATGGAGTAATCGTATTTGTGTGATGGTGTGATTTTGCAATTTACTATGAAAACGTCTGTAATATGTTTTGATGGATGAAAAAACTGTTGGGATTTGAAGATCTCTGTGAAGCGTATTATTGCTTACATAAAAAGGGGCAGAAACAATTAGTCTTAAAATTTTGGATTGAAAACTTTGTAATCTTTGAATATTGGAGTACTTCGCCGATCCGTATACTTGGCACCCGTACATCCAAATAGGTTTGAGTAGGTATGTGTATGTCGAAAGTTTTGATTTTAATGGTAATTTTGATTGTCGGTTGAGTAGGTAATAAAGAATTTTAAATCGTTTGTTCAGTGTCTGTTTTTTTAATCATGTGTGTGGATTGCAAGTTAGTCTTCTATCAAATATAAGTCCTAAATAGTTAAAATAGTTAAAAATAGTTAAATTAGTTAAAATTTAACTTACAATTTATTATCTGGTTTTGTTAATAAGGCGTTGTTAATGACGTGTAATATCATGTCTGGCCTCGTGATTAGATCCGTCGGTATTCGTCACGAATAAATAAATATTTAGAATTATTTCTTTAAATATGGTATGATGTTTTGCTTGCTTGGCCATTACCAATTGCTCGCTTTCAAACTTAACATAATCGAGAATGATATTGATTTTGCTCCACTTAATCGATCCAGATCTAAATTAAACTGTTTAGCCAAAGTGATCCATTTAGCAACCAACGAACATTTTTTATTTACTATTTCTTTAGAAAATAACGCTTGGAATCTAACGATCTGGAAACAGGTAAAGCAAAACGTTAAAAAAAAATAAATAAATAAATAAAAATAAAGTTATAATGTAAATTGAGACAAGCTGTGTTTCTAAATTTATTTTAGAATTGGGCGTATTTTTTGGAATTGCAAATTGCTATTTAATGAAACATCTTAACACTGCATACTTTACATAATTTGACTAGCTTTTACCCGCGACTTCAACCACGCCGGAATTTAAAAAACACCCTACGACTAATATTCCTTATTGTGATACGAATCTAGTCTATGCATAATATAATAGTCTAAGTATGAGTCCCTAGTTTATTTAATAAATTAAATAAATAATAAATAAGTACATATAAAATAAATATAAATACGTACGTAATACATATGGATAAATACACACTCATATACGTACACATATACACACATACCTACACATATTTATATCAAAACTTAGAATAAATAGGTAATAATAAATATGTACATAATACATGAATAAATAAATAAATAAATAAGTTATATACAAACAAATAAATTAATTAATTAATGGAATAATGGAAGTTAGGCGTTGATATATATAAGCCTCTCATTGAGATCCAATAGGGTTTTGTGTTTGGCGCTGGGTTTACGTTTTTGTCCGATATCTTGAATTAATCTTACGGCGTTACCGGAATATCTATCAAAACATTTGTAACAATTGGTTTCTATGAATTCGCGGAGATATTGCACTCCGGAGTTTGTGTGGAGTTCATCTATCTTGGTTGCTAATGGGCTGTTAGTGCATAGCCTTAGGAATTTATTTTGAGTTCTTTGCAGCTTGTTTTTATTGGTGTTACAAGTTAAGCCCCTCTGTTTTAATGTACCTTCGTAATGCGATGCAGAGTGCCAGTATGGCTTTCTAATATAATGTCTCGTTTCCCAAATTCTTCTCTTCTTCAGTTCACTTCTGTCTATGCATGATAAAAAAATCGTCCAAAATTGTCCCTTGGGGTGGAATTTCAAAAAATCCTTTCTCAGCGGCTATCCTTGTCATTTTAGAAATGCATTGTCCAATTTTCAGCCCTTTAGATCTAGCGGTTTGATCAGTGCGTTGTCAGTTAGTCACGAACTGTTTTATATAAATATAGAAGTATATTATATACAAATGTATGAGACAGTAATTTTATGGGTTTTGTGTTTTTTTCAGGTTTTACAATGTACACTACTTGTGTTATATGGTTAGCTTTTGTACCGTTGTACTTCGTTACGGGTAACCATATGCCGTTGAGAATCACGAGTATGTCAGTCGCAATCAGCTTATCGGCCAGTGTCACCATCGGTTGCCTTTTTTCACCAAAAGTAAGCAAAATGGGAAACCTTGCCCCTTTTGAAGGCTAACTCTTACCCTTATTTTTCATTTTTCCAGCTTTATATAATAATAATTCGACCAGAGAGGAACGTGAGACAGAGCATGATGCCGACTTCGCGGTACAGCGGTACGGTCAAGTCCGGCACATCCGCTAGCGTCATGGCAGCGACAGTCGCTGTGACGGACACGCACAGGTTGTCTCACAATTACGTCCACAACGGCGAACATTCGGGTAAATATGGAGTTTAGAAGACGCCACGGGACCAACCTCACTTTCGATTTGTTGCAGGTAGAGGAGCCTCAGACATGGAGTTGAAAGCCGAAGGGATCTCTTTTCGTCCGAAGCCGATTTTGGTGAGCAAGTCGACGCAGACTCTTGCAGAGCCGAGCAACAACAACTGCACCGAGGTGAAAATAAATTCATCTTTAGTCGGCAACGGGCCGCTAACAAGTGACGTGCAGTTGTAGCATTAATTGCACACCTTGCTGACCGACTGAGACGCTTTCTCTCTCACCCTTGTACATAACTACACATTAACGAACCCTCTTATATTTTCAAGCGTTTATACTTAATCCAAGATTAGGTTTCTTTCGGGGAGTACAGGTCTAATGTGATGTACATTGTTTGTAAATACGCGGATTTCGTTTCTAAATATTTTTCTAATCGTTAGTCGTTAAGAGCAGAGAAAAGTAGTTTGGCCTATTCAATGTCCGAATGCTGTGATCTTACCAAAGTACACATCATTTATGAGCCCAATGATGATTACTTTGATGATTCAGCCACATTGTAAATATTTTGTAAATAAATTAATATTAAAATAGGTAAACAAAAATCTCAGTGATCGATTGCATTATTTATTGTCGTTAACTCTTATTATATAATATATATCATACATGTATAATAAAAAATGTACATTATATTGATACGGAAAAATTATATTTGTATGTGAATATAAGCGTTTCAATCGGATTTACTAAAATAGAATGAAATGCGTCACAATGTAATAAGCTCATGGCCTGTGGTAATTTGTAAATAGTAAATGGTTGTAAAATCTATCGGTATACTTAAGATAATATATAAATATATATAAATTTGACTTTTATTACCTGTCTATATATATATATATATATATATAAAGTTAATAATAATTTAACCAGGCAAATGTTTGCAGATATTATTGAAAAAAAACTATTGAAATGAAACTTGAATCGTTACAATTACGCTTAGTTAACGTTGTGATCGGCAGTATTGTTTTGTAATTTGTAAAAAACCGAAATTAAATAAATTTATCTGTGTTATTCGCTTGGTCATTTCTAAACCCAGTCTTTGTTAATTGTCTTTTAAAAACATTGTATTTTATATCATTTACATACAAAAAAGTCTTAAATAATTGTCGGGCAAAGGAATTCTGTGTTTAGATCTTCGTTGTTTATAAACTATATGTAAAATTTTGAAAAATAAAAAATAAAAAAAGAAACAATCCTAATTATGAAAATAGATTAAACGAAACATTATAAAACGTTAAATATTATTTTAATCCTTGTATTTCAAGTTATTTCACTTTAATTTAGAAACAACAAAAAAGTATAATTTGTTGTATAGAGTCGGCTGTAAGAAATAAAACGCTCAAAATTTTATAACACTAACTGTAATTAATTCCAGTATAATTTCTTTGGACAAATATTACCAAATTATTATTTATTGCTACCTTGAAAATGCGTACAAAGGTTTTCTTATAAATCACACAGTCGATAGCAGTTTGGAGCAATAAATTAAAGGAAAGAGCGATCATTTACGTCAGTATCGGAATAATCGAGATCGCAGAAGAACAGAGGAAGAATCTCCCCAAACCAGGGACTTGATGAGATTTCAATGACTCGCTAAATACTATCCCAATGTTCCAGCACCCTCGTTGTATGTTGCATAGTAGAATTAATTTCCTATTTCCGACATTAGACATAGATTGCAGCAAATTGGCAATGGACTCCTCTTTAGTCATCAATATATATAAAAAAGAACAGTTTTCCCTACTTACTTATAATTGGTATCAAAAATTTAAAAAAAAACATTGATTGACAATTTTAACGCACCACTCAATTTATTTGGTTTAAAATTAAATCCATTATCTTTCTACATTAAATACTATGTTTCAATAGTATGGTAGTAATATAATAAAATGCAAATAATGGTTTGTTTACTTTTGTACTTATTAATCCCATTTGCACAAAAAGTAGTGGCATTATGAACTTTCATTCTGACATGCCTAAAGATCTCTTTCAGATCAATTTTTTCCTTCGTTGATTTTAATTGGTTATTCTTATTCTTAAACCTGTTATAATGACTCCAGTCAGGCTTTTGAGTGAGTTTGAGGTCAGGGTCATAACATTATTAGAGGAAGGATACAGCCAGCGCGAAGTCGAAGTCGAAAACAATAGGAAGGGCGATTCAAAGAAACAGGGCTTCACACTAGAAGGCTAGCAAAAGGTTGACCTAGGTCTACAAACAAGAGAGTTGACAGATTCATTCATCATCAGGCTCTACAAATCTGCAGCATTACGGGAAATGTGATACAAAATATGTTGAGACAAGACCGAAATTTTTGATTTCCTCCAGGACTGTACGATAAGGTAGGAATAGGGATAAGAGAGGCGGCCACAAAACCTACTGCACCTCGACCTAAAAAGATCTATTGTGCTCCTCTGTTAATCGCTTACCAATAACTCCAATAACTCCAATAACACCCTGGCCAGCTTCAGGCTATTAACTAGCCGCCACAGCTTTGCCCGTGGTTCCTTGGTTTATTTGTTTTTCTTGTCCTAGTTGCCTACATACATACCTACACCTACATAGACCTTCGCAGAAACATAAAATGTGTTCTGCGGTAGGACTGTAAGAAGAAAGCTCAATGAAAATATCCTAAGGGCCTGGCACCCGGCTCGTGGACCTATTCTTACCACAGCTCAGAAAACGGCCATGCTTCAATTCGAGAATTGGACATTGTAAGATTGGGGCGAGTTCTCTTTGCAGATGAGCCGTAGGTTTGCCTTAAATCTTCAGATGGGCGTAATTTATATGGAGTCAGGATAAAAGTACACCCAATGCTGTATGGTTGAGCTGGCATTCCATGGTGGGGTCAGTGATGTTCTGAGGTGGCATTTCCTAGAATGTCCGCACCGAATGGTTGTTGTGCTATGAACATCTCTAACAACACAGAAGTATTTACAAGACATAATCGAAGAATGTAATGCCATTTGCGCCCACATGGGTAAGAGATTCTTGCTAATGCGAGATAATGCCAGGGCCCATAAAGAATATTGTGGACGACAACCTGAATGAGGTGACCTGAATTGAGTGGCTGGAGTGGCCAGCTCGAAGTCGAGATTTGAACCCAATCAAACACATTTGGGACCAAGTTATGCAACGAGTACGACGGCGAAACCCAGATTCTAACACTCTAGAAGAATTGGAAACGGCTGTTCGTGATGAATGGGAAAGAATTCCTCAGAATTTTATCAGAAATCTTTGTCCAAGAAATGCAAAGGCGCTTAACGGACGTGATTTGTGCCACAGGTGGAAATACTTGGTATTAAAGAGGACATAAAAGTTTTATTTACATTTTTATTTGTTTTTGAATTTTCTATTTTTTTCTTTACTTTTTTTAGAATTAGGTAATAAAATAAATGTCTCATTTGTTCAATCAAACCTATTTTTGGTATGCAAAATATGAATAAACCTAAATACATTAAAATTTAAGGATGGCGAGTTATTAATTTTGTCCATCAGAGTATATCATTATATTTCAATATAGCTGTAATATTCAATCTACAAATACATAGTTAGCTAGATAATTTGTTTATTTAATGTACCTAATTTACAAAATATATAATAATGATAATATACAATGTATCTTATAGAACTTAATAACTATAAACATTGGCATGGACATTTATCAGCCCGAATTGACCTTATAAAAAATGGACTTATTTATTCTAGTATGTGATCTTTTTATTTAAACATCTAAATAATCTATGTTATTGATTCACGAATTTATTTATTTATTTCCCGAAATTAATATTTTGTTGGTGTATAGTGATTCCTAGTTTTCACCATTCAATGCATTTGTCATGGACCCTTTGCGTAAAACAATTTGATTAAAATACTCATCAGTAAATCTCTTAATATTGGACATACTGCTATAAAATGGAAAGCTTCTTCGACCTCATTTAAATTACATAAAGTGCAATTCTGCTGCTTTTGTTTTCTGCAAAAGAAGAAATTGGAAGACAGAAGTTCCCCTCTTGCTTTCATAATTACACTTGTGAAGTGGTGTTTTTAGTCATTACACATTCACTTACGGGTCACATCAATGGACAGTTCTTTATAAGGTTTATGATATGTCGTCAGTTCTCTTTTATTTAATAAGCTTACATTGTATTATGACCTTTCCTTTTCAGACAGTAATTCTTCTTTACCTTAGGTCCATCCTTATACTTCATATTTAATTCAAACTCCTGCATATTATATTTCTGAACATGGACCATCATTTCCTTATACCAAAAAAACTTCTTATCTATAATGTAATATGCCTCGAGATCCGCCAGTAGTTAATATTTTGAAAATGTAGTCAAAATGAAGACTCAATACAAAGAAATAATGGTTTTAAACTAATTTCCAGAGCTATTACGTATTCGGGATTATTTGGAGACACCAAAAATATTTTCTTCGCAAAAAAAAAACCCTCTCATTGCTTCCACCTATCCAAATACTTTTACCCCACACCTGCGCGGCATAACATACCATGACCCTAAAGAAGGTGTCAAACAAAACCAACTTAGATTTAACAGGTGTATTCTCCCTTCTGATTACTGTTTTCCAGGATACATTGATAGCGAATTTGCAGGCTGACATTTTTTTAAATGCTTGGAATAGGAAAGCTGAGGGGATATTGTAAGTCCCAAATACTTGTGCTCGTTTACAATATCAAGCCTTTCACCTGCAAACCACCGTTTCTCACTTTTTGCCCTTCTCCTTCCTTTACCAAAGATCTAATACTCTGTCTCTAATTTTTTCTAGACCATAGCCAACGAAAATACATTTTTGACTTTGTAATCCCAATTCAGTCTTTTTTGTTTTGGTATGTATACAAAAACAATTTCTAAGATGTCTAATATCAGGTTTACATTGAAGCCATATTTCGTAAGCAGTTATTCCTTTTATTGAACTTGTTCCAGTCAAATATACAGTGCACAGTTAACATCTTCTGCCCATTAAATTTTCCATTTTGGCATTTGCCATCATTGCCCTGGCTGCTTCTTCCACAATCCTCATTTCTCTTGCAATTTTTCCGTTCTGATTTGGAGTATATGGTACTGTTGTTTGGTGTATGAAACAATTCATTGCGACATTGAGTTGGAGCTGCCCGGACGCAGCCGAGACGAAAAGAGTGTGGTCTAACTCTTGGCATGTACAACATTGTGGTTCATCGGGAAAAGTAGAATTTTCGGTACCAAATGATAATATAACTTTAAGGGCGATACAATTTATACGTACTGCCATATCATCTCTCTTGTGATGATGGTGGTGAATTTACATTCAATTTAAAGCGCATGTCAAACCGTAATAGTAAAAAGATTTGTTATTTTGATAATTGATAATTGATAAATAAGAATGTACGTTGCATCAACTTCCCGTTCTGCCGTATCATCGGTGTGGGGTATAACCGAGCGGTTCAAGATTTTATTACCATCGCTTCTCGGCCTTTTGGCTAAGATCAAAGTGTAGTATCTGTTCTTATCAGCTTAATCTCTGGTACGACTTCCATAGGGAGTCCAGTAGATTAAACTGATTTTTGGAAAATGACGGAGTGCTAGGGGCTTGCGACTCTGTCGCGGGTTGATCTGGTATTGCAGTACTTCCAGGAACGGCTCACCTGATTGTTTATGAATAAAAAAATTAATTAAAGTAAGAAATTACGCTTGTTAAAGTCAGTACAAATTTAGTAAAAAGTTTTTACTCGTTTCTAACGAATCCGATTAATTCATACATAAATACCACGTCAGTTTTACCAAACTAGAACGAATCGGAAATTGTGGAAATACTAAAACAACTAACATATAAAGAAAACAATTTCCATGTAGAAAAATTAATTGTTGTTAAATTTTGATGGCCGTTGTTGTGTGAGGGATAAATGAATCTGATTCGTCGGCTTTACTACTAGTAATACAAATCAGCAATATATAATAATAATAATACAAAATAAGATAGATAATAGATAGATCTAGATAAGATAAAACCCAAATCAATCTAGGCTGATTTGTCCTTCAATGTAATAATACTAACGATATAACAATTTGTACGCTGATTTGTATTACTAGTAGTAAAGCCGACGAATCAGTCTCATTTATCCCTCACACAACAACGGCCATCAAAATTTAACAACAATTAATTTTTCTACATGGAAATTGTTTTCTTTTAATCAGTTTTAGT